TCAAAACATGAGACAGAAAGCAGGGTGAGACTGGTGAGACTGTCTGGCACAAAGCCAGTGATGAAATTCTCTTTACCCATAATGCTTTGCTAATTTTTTTTCTGTTCCCACTTGCCTCACAATAGAGCTAACAGTATCCTCCCAGGCTATTTCCCTCCTCTCTCTCTCTCTCTCTCTCTCTCTCTCTCTCTCTCTCTCACACACACACACACACACACACACACAAACACAAACAGCATTATTTCCCTCAGACAGTATCTTCTCAAGCTAAGGCTGGAATGATTCTATAGTTGATTTATCCATGCTCCACCCACAAATGTGTTCTTTCATGGCAAATGTTGCTGCAAACGAACTCCTAAATTCTAGTCCTGATTGGTTCTATCCTGTATCGCAAGGAGTTTTGGTAAGGAGGCCGCTGCTGTGTCCAGATGGAGGGGTCCTCGACAAGGGCCTAAATAAGTGCACACTCATGAACACCAAAGGAACATCCTGCAGGCTCTTAGTGCTTGTGGGCAACTGAAAATGAGGACCACAGGGCCACAGCTGGGCCAAATGGAACAGGGCTTGAGGATACATGCACTTGTGCGGTAAAATGGAGACAGTGAGCACAGCTCTTTCCTCATGATTTAAAAAATCTGGAGAAGTAACAGCTGCCTTGATAGCACAGGTGGGATGTTTAGCCTTAGTTTCCATTGGTTTCTATCAGCCTCAGGAACTGGATGAAAAATATAAACACGATAAAATCTGATGATAAATCTCTCTAAATCTCTCTTTACTTTGCATGACCAAGTGGTGCTTTTACAGGCAGGATGAAACAGCTTGAGGTGGGCTGGACAGAAAGGGCCACAGATTGCAGAACAGACTGGATATAGCTAAAGCCAGAACAATAGAAATAAACTTGTAGTCAGAAACAACTTCAGCCCATCAGCTCTGGATTCAGCTATTTGGACAGATACACAAGCCCTCACACACACACACACACACACACACACACACACACGTACATGCACACACACACACACACACACACACACACACGTACACACACACACACACATGATAATTATGATAATGTTATTTAGTATAAGTTTTATGTTATTCTCCTCTTCTGTCTCTTTTACCTAAGAGGATCTGATTGTAAGTATCTCTCTCTTTTGCCGGCTCATGCCATGAGAACAAACACTGTACCTGATAAACTGGAGCATTTGATTCTTTGTGAGATAGGAAATCTGTTGTCTTGGCACTACAATATAAGAATATTGGTAGGTGAGTATATCTTTTATGTTTATTTAAATGTATATGTATGTATATCTTTTTAGGTCAAGAACTTCAGTTTAAGTAATCAGTCAAAGTTAGAATTTACGGCACAATTTGGGAAATACATGGATCTTTATATGGATAATTCACAGATAACAAAGTAAGAAATGCTGTTGGAGGAAGGCCTGAACCAAATATTGATCTATATTGCCCCCTAATGGTAGAACTGTGTTATATTACTGCTTATGCGGTCTCCAGACCCTTACACCTAAGTGGCTCTAAACTTACTCCTACTGAGTTGAAATTAAATAGAGATAATTAGGTTAAATACAGAATGATAGATTTAATTTGGTGGCTTTTAAAACTACACTGGGTGGAATCACACCTCATTATTTAAATACACCCCTCATGTCATGGTAATTAGACAAATTGTCAAGTTTGGTGCGGGGGTCCAAATTATTTGCATTCAATGATTGAAGTTTGCAACCCATACACATCACCTGACAGTGACATCTTACTTGTTGATGTCCTGTTTGGACTATAATGGAGGCTTTTTTAGTTCCTGCTTATTTTGAGGGTTTTTTTTTTGCTTTCTTTTTTTGCTTATTGCTTACCTCTGAATCCACCAGTGCCTCCCCAGTCTTTAAGACACATCAGCTGTTGTATTAAGAACTCCCAGGGCCCCTGGCATCCCGTCTAGGATGCCCCTTCATGCAATAAATGATGGTGATGTGCCCGCTAGAGCAAGCAAATATGATAACGTCTTACTGAGTGCCCTTTGAGTGGAAAAAAAAACCTGGTGCAGTGCCCTGTAAGGTGCCTTACAATGGTCTAAACTTGACACTCCCTATGGGAGCACTCGAATGGAAAAGGGTGCCGTTGTGTATGCCGCCCCTAAATGACAGTGTCCCAAATGGTTCCCATTCCATTAGAGAAAATGGGATGCAGTGCTGTATAGGCTACTCCTACAAGTGAGAAAACATGATAAAGTGCCAAATTAGGTGCTCACCTAATGGAGAAGTTCCCCTCTAGTGGAGAAAATGTGATGCAGTGCTGTAAAGGGTGTCCCTACATGCATGAAAATATTGTCAAGTTTCCTAATGGATGCCCCTCTAGTGGAGAAAATGTGAAATGGTGCCATACAGGCGCTCTCACGATAGGATGAACTTGTCGTTTTCTTCAGGTGCCTTTCTGGTGAAAAAATTCACGAAGTGCATTGTTTGATGTCCTTCTAATTGGCCTTGCAATGGAGAGAAAAAAATTTCAGTGAAGAAAATGAGATGAGTGCCCTCTAGGGCAGGCTTTCCCTGGGTGGGTGCTGTGACGACCTTTACCTCTCAAACCCTGCTTACATTCAAAACACAATGTATGGCTGCCACCAAATGTTTTCTGCATTTCTGCAAGGGGCCGACAAGTTAGTTCTATGTAATCTCATCTGCACTGTCCCTGTTTAATGTTCCTTTAGGTTAGGTTAACTGTATTTAATAGTAAAAGACAAAGTAAATTGTTGCCAGCCATGACAGAATAAAATTTAAAATATTCATTCCCATTGCTAAAAATGACATCTATTCCATCCGTTTTAATTTTCTATTTTAGCCACACCCCCTGTTCAGATTGTCAGAATGTGTGTGCATTTGTGAAACAAATGTTAATAGTTCCCTCTGTGTTTTATTTCGGAGGTGTTTGTGAAATAAATATTTTTATAGTTTATAGTTCCCTGTGTGTTCATATCAGGTTATAATTTTAATCTGGATATCACCTAATAAAATAATGTTAATCTTAATCAAGGATGAAGACAATTTATCACATATAATGTATTATAGCTTTTTGCATGCTATAGGGGCCCCATGTTGAGCAGTAGCCTGCCACGGTATATAAAATAAATAAAATCCCCCTAATGGCAAATATTTGCAGAAATTTAACCATGTAGGAAATAGGCTATTGCACATAGATTGAGAATGAATCATTTTGTTTCCATTACAGTGCCGTTCAGAGTACACACAAACACAATTTGTTTATTAAAATTATTTTTAGGTGTGTTTTTTTCTGTTATTTTTGTGATATTTGTCAGATTGTGGGGGCCTCCAAAGATGGTTTTGGCCAGGGGTCTTGTGAGACCATGATCCATCTCCGATTGACATACCTGATGCTTTGGCCTTTTTCTGATTTGTTCTGATATTGTGGACTCTGCTTTACTTGCAGATGTGAAAAGACAACAGCAACAAACATCACATGTAGAATCAGCTCTAGATCTTTTGTCATTTCTTTCATGGCTATGGCTGTACTACATATGGTGGAGTAACAAACGTGGCCTAACTGAAAAGCTTCCAGCACCTGCTAGTCATGAACTCAACGGAAGAGAGTGATGCAACTATATGTCCAAATATTTGAAGACTCTGCTCATCCAGTGTTTCTTGTGAAGTAAAGGGGATTAATAACAAATTTACCACAAGAGTCTTTACTCTTTTGGGAAGGCTTTAAAATACATTTTGGAACACAGCATACAGCCAGAAGAGCATTAGTGAGGTCAGGCACTGATGTTGGACGATTAGTTTGGGATAACAAATGCCACTCCATCTCATCCCAAAGTTACATCCCTGACCAACCTCGCTTTATATATGTCACACATTTGCATTCACACAAACAGAGTAGGGTCAACAAATACAGACTTTGATGTCTCAACATAAAATGCAATTGTTGATGGAACTTGAAACATTTCAGTGCAATTTATTTGGCTTTCACTGAACAGAATCTCTGATTCAAATAAATAGATACCATTCATCAAAATGTCCATTAATTCTTGTCTGATTTGCATAAATCAGTTACTTAAGGGTAACACAATACATTTATCTAATGTCTATATCGCTTCAGTTTGTAAATCAAATCAAAAGCTCAATTTTTTGAGTGATATTTAATGGTGCTCCATCACTCCAGAAAATACAGTTCCACTGCTCCACAGACCAGTACTGGTGGTTTTACCCCTCTTGCTGATGCTTGGCATAGAGAATGGTGGCCTAAGGTTCATGTGCAGCTCCATTCCATTGGCAATGCTTTTCCAAGGAGATTATACAAGCTGCGTGTGCACAGCTGAACACCTGTGCTGAATCGACTCATTAAAAGAGATGTCTCAATACTTTTGTTCATATGTAACATCCCATGAGATGTGGAGAGAGTGACATCTAGAGGCAGCAAGAACTCATTACACAATTCATCCTTAATCCAAGTCATTACCAGTCATTCATTATCAAGTCATTATTATCTTGCCAGCTCTGTTATATCAACAATTTCAATTTGAGTGAAATCAAGGAATAATGGAAATAAGTTCAATTTTCTTTTATTATTATACATTTTTCTGTCTTTTTTTCATGAGATGATGTGTCATCCTGTTAAATGGCTATTTAGTAGTAACATAAATTCAAATTTAACATTTTTGTATTGAATTATATAAACGTGTTCTTGGAACAACATATCTGTATAGACGTCTCATGCTCTTACAGAGTCCTGTAGGTTCAGTGAGAATGCCAAGGCTCATATATTAAGTTTTACTTATGAAGGAATTACAAGATGATCTACTAAAACACATTCAAGTTTTGGTTTGCTGTCTTGAAGACTTGAACTGTAACAGCGTGAAATAAGTTTGAGGTTTGAGGTCTCCTGCACAATCGATAATCCGATGTCATAATCAATCGTAGTCACTTTTTTTTTGTTTTTTCAAGAAGCATGTTCCATGATGTTGCCTGACTTCATAAATGAGGTGGGAAGAGTGTAGGCTGCAGGTAGCCAGCGGGCAAGAATGGGTGCAGGATGCCGCCAGTGGACGACAGTGGCATAGCACTGGAGGAGTGAAAGATGACGTCTCCGGTGCTGAAAGGGGGAAAAGGTCGAAATCCTGCTGTGGTGGGTCCACATGCTATTGCTCCAGTGCTGGGACTCAGGCTTGGAAGTGAAGTGGTGCTGGACTGCATGGTGCCATCAGCCCCTGGGTTCTGCTTCTTCCACTTGGTCCTGCGGTTCTGGAACCAGATCTTCACCTGCGTCTCTGTGAGGCTCAGCGACAGTGCCAGGTTCAGCCTCTCGCACACGGACAGGTAGCGTGTGGAGCGAAACTTGTTCTCCAGGGCTACCAGCTGTTCGTAGGTGAAGGCGGTCCTGGCTCGGCGGGGCCTGGTGCAGCCATGATCAGGCCTGCGGCGGCGGGAGCGAGAAGGCTCTGTCATACCACTGCTGTCTCCATCAGCATCCCCTTCCTCACCGGGAGACAAACGTGACTGGACAGTGCTGAGAGCTGAAGCTGAGTCCACTTCATGTGTTGGATGGGGTGTGAAAGAGCGCTGGGGGTCATCCACTGTCTGACCACCTGGGAATTTATGCAAACAACAGCATGAGAAAAGACAACAATGCTTGTTGCATCTGCTTCTGTAAATTAAACACTGAACCGTATGGATGTGCTGACATCAGTACAACAGTGATGAAATCAGTAAAATAGTGCTTAAGTCTGATCAGCTAAACAGTGCAAAAATCAGTTAAACAGTGCTGGAATCAGTACAGATGTACTGAAATCAGTAAAACAGTACTGTAATCAGAACAGCTAAACAATGGTAAAACCAGTAAAACTGTGCTGTAATCAGTGAAATTGTGCTGGAATCAGTACAGATGTACTGAAATCAGTAAAACAGTACTGACATCAGAACAGCTAAACAGTGCTGAAATCAGTAAAACTGTGCTTGAATCAATGTAGATGTGCTGAAATCAGTACATAAGTGCTGAAATCAGTGAAACTGTGCTGGAATTAGTAAAACATTGTTGAAATTGGAACAGCTCAACAGAGCTGAAATCAGTAAAACAGTGCTTTTACAGATGTGCTGAAATCAGTACAGAAGTGCTAAAATCAGTAAAGCAGTGCTTTTACAAATGTGCTGCAATCAGTAAAATTACTGATATCAGTAAAACTGCTGAATTTAGTAAAACAGTTATGTAAGTAGTACTGATGTGCTGAAAACAGTAAAGCTATGGCAAAATCAGTACAGATATGCTGAAATCCGTATAGATGTGCAGAAACCATTACAGATGTGCTGAAATCAATACAAATGTGGTGGAATCAGTACAGATGTGCTGAGATTAATAAACCTTTACTGAAATCAGTACATCAGAATGGCAGCACTTTATCTGGAGTTCATTGTAGATGCTTCGTCTTTAATTATCATTCAACTACATATCCATGAACAGCAACTAAACTTTATACAGAATGTAATGGATCATATTAAATCTAACCCTAAAACTAAACCTAACCTTAACATCAACCAAAGCCTAATCCTCACTCCAACACTGTTGACAATCAACTGGGTTTTACTAATAGCTTGTTAACAATTAAAGCATGTGCAGATAATCTAAACGGAGCTTTCAAATTAGTTTTAAAAGAAAAAAAAAACTCTAAAATAAAGTTAAGGCAAGAAGTTCAGTCTCTCACGCTGTTAAATTCACCAGCGAGACCCCGCAAGTTTAATTTGAGGAATTTAGAGCATGCCCCGAGTATGACGGGAAAGATATGGATCGAGAGTTATGTGTGTGGAACGAGGCGAGGGTTAAGAAGGGGGACTTGGGTGGATTGGGCTATAATCCCTTAATAATTTATAAATCACAAATCGCTTCAAATGTCATGTTGCGGAAAGAAATCCCGGTTAAATCCAGCTCCAGCACCTACCCGTGACGTGCTAATAGAGTTTCATATTTGTCGGCAAATCGATAAATGTCATCTATTTAAAGGGAAGTTTTAATCGAGCGATATTTGGGATCAGACATGGAAGGGGTTTGAAGTTTGTACCTGCAAGGTGCTGCAGGGAGATATGCAGCATCCAGTAATGGGATATCGATCAAAGGCAGCGCAGGCATCCTCAATGGGACCATTTAAACAATTATCTGTCCTTACTGCCCCTGTGCCAATCACACAGCAAGCCATTGTGATTGTTGAAGGGACATACAGCCTTAGAAATTAAGGGAAGGTCATATAAAGACCACTTAAAATATTCCATCATGTCTTAGATGGAAAGCAGTGGCAAATCTCGCTCTCGGTCTCTTTCCTTTCTTTATTTTTTCAGCCAAAGTCAAAAGTGGGCGCGTTTCCAGTGCCTTATAGCTTCACTGTACAACCATAGATCTCTTTATAAATGAAAATAAAATAACCATAGCGAGGAATTATATCCAGATATGCAGATAACGCTTGAGTTCTAACCATCACTTGCAGTATGATCACAGTGCAGCTCAACGCACCGCTGCGTATCTGCTTATATATTTTGAAATAATATCTCTGATAAAAGCTGTTCATTTACCTGCATCCTCATCGACGTATAAAGCCTCTGTAGGAACAGCGTCTCCTCTACCGCTCAGCGTGCTCTCCGCGTCCCCACGGTCTCCGCGGAAAGGAGACTCCGTGTTGTCTTTTTCAACTCCATCCAGCTTTTTCCGCGTGAACTTTTTGGGATCCAGTATGTCGATAATCGAAAACGAAATTCTATGACTGGCCGTTGTTTTCGCTTCTGTCTCCTGATACTCGAACATCTTCGGTCCTGAAAGCCACCTGATGAGGGAACAAGCTCGCGCCTCTTTGTCCTGCTGCCCTGTACAGTCGCGCTCCTCCAGCTGCTGCTCGCCCAGATGTGGCCGGGCGCTCAGGGGTGCGCTCTTTAACTCCGCTGGTTCGAAGAGCCGCGCTCTCTGGCACCCACGTGACACGCAGAGCAGCCGTTTAGCGCGCGGAGCGATCAGCTTGTTAATGGGCCTCAATAAACTGCAACTAATTAGAGCGCAGAAAAGACAGCGCGCGAGGCTGCAGGTGCAACTGTTGAGCGCGAACAGAAATCAAAGCTAATCAGCAGAATTAAGAAAATGAGTTCAGATATCAGCGATATAACTACAGTGGAGATCAACACAGCAATAGAAATGAAATGGAGATCAAAGTTGAACAACAGAAATCAAATGGAGATCAAAGTTGAACAACAGAAATGAAATGGAGTTTAAAGTGAATAGTGGAAATCAAATGGAGATCAAAGTTGAACAATAGAAATAAAATTGAGATCAAAGTTGAACAATAGAAATGAAATGGAGATCAAAGTTGAACAATAGAGATAAAATGGAGTTTAAAGTGAACAATAGAAATCAAATGGAGATCAAGGTTAGCAATGGAAATGAAATGGGGATCAAAGTGAACAATGGAAATCAAATGGAGATCAAGGTTGAATAATAGAAATCAAATGGAGATCAAAGTGAACAATGGAAATCAAATGGAGATCAAGGTTGAACAATGGAAATCAAATAGAGATCAAAGTGAACAACAGAAATAAAATGGAGATCAAAATGAACAACGGAAATTAAATGGAAATCAAGGTTGTACAGCAAAAATCAAATGAAGATGAAAGCTGAACAATATAAATCAAATGGAGATCAAAGTTGAATGGAAATAAAATGGAGATCAAAGTTGAGCAGTAAAATTCAAAGGGAGAAGATGATTGTTCAACAATGTCAAAGTTCAACTTTAGAAATCATATGGAGATCAAAATTCAGCAATAGAAGTCAAGTGGAGATCAAAGTTTAATGACAGAAATTCAATGAAAGCCAAAGTTATACCAGTAAATATCTTCATTATTGCATTGCTGTTATTGCCATGGTCAGATATCAAGATTAACTATTTCTGATATTTCCCCAAATGTTTCTGTGCCATGAAGTATTGCTTAAAAAAACTCTGCATTTGGTCAAGTAACATTGCTCCATAATGTATATTTCTTAGGACACAATGTATCCAACTTGTTATGTGAATATAGAAGCTGAATATGTCAGCTAGTTCTTTAGATTTGTTTTCCCTCAGATTTGTGACTTAGGCTTCCATTTTATCATCAGCTGAAGTCATTATCAATCAGCCTGTTCTTCTTCAGTTATGATCATATGTTAATGTGTCACGGTCGAGTGCGAGTCTGGTAGAGGATGATAGCTGCTACAGACTGGATCAATACGCTCAGCGGGTGTCCAGCACTGATAAAAGTGTCCCACAATGCATGGCCTCACTAAAGAGGGCTCTACCATTAAACCATTAGTGTGACTGTCTGATTAGGAAGCTCACTTACTGCACTTATTTAACACCACGTCTAAAATGTTTTCACCTTGGCTTTCTTCCCCAGTCTGGAGAAAAACTGCAGTGGCAGAAAATGTAAAACAGTTTCAGACTGGTGCAGTATATATATACCAGACTTCATGTTGTTCCAGTACTGACCACAGACAGGTCCATTTATCATTGATTCAGTATTGATCTGATTTGAAGCTGCCATTAAATTTTAGAAACTACAAGCCTCAAGGGTGAAATATTTCTAATATTTCTAACATTGTTTATATATCATCTGTAAAGGGGGTTAGGAAGCAGAAGCTTAGAGCAACTCAATGTGATGAAATGAAAAGAAAAGAAAAGAAAAGGAAAGACAAGAAAAGAAAAGAAAAGAAAAGAAAACCTTGAACAAATGTATTTAATGTGATCCTTGTACATTGCCACTGCCATAACAAAACCTCTTCAGAACAGACCTAGCCATTCTATATTCAAATTGCTCTGTTGTGTTTTTGTTTTGCTATCCAGTGTCGACCAGAGGAGGATGGGTTCCCCTTCTGGGTCTCGGTTCCTCACAAGGTTTCTTCTTCTTCCTTTAAGGGAGTTTTTCTTGCCACTGTAACTCTTGGCTTGCTTATTTGGGATTTCTATAAAGCTGCTTTATGAAAACACACTGTTGAAAAAGGTCTGTACAAATAAATTTTGATTTGAATAAAACTGAATTCACTCAAAAGAGCTAAATCAATTCAACATTACATTAACATTACAAGATTTTATACAAAGTAATTTTGGACTATTTTTATTGGTCCGTAAAACAATGTAAAGGGCAGCTCTTCAAATGTTATAAAAAAAAAAAGTGGAGTCACAGGGCTTTGACATGACAGACGATATATTCTTGATTGATATTGTGATGCCACATAAACAGCTCAGACACAGCGTGATAATGGCGAGGACAAAAATCCAGTTTGCAGGCTGTTAAACGGGCGTCCTAATTCCTTCCCACTTCACTGAGCATGTCATTTCCTCCGCTTGCTCTTGCTTTATGGCTCGAGCCAATTTCATCTCCATTCCCAAGTCTTTTTGTCCTGCCCTGTTTTCCAGTAGTAGCCCACAACCCACAGTGCATGTTTCTTGCTTGTAACATGGTCAAACATCAGCCAGTGTCTGTCCCCATTGAGGCCGCTGTTTGCCTTCATTAGCATGTGTAAACCCAGTAACTGAGTGAGTTCCATATGAATGAGCTCTTACTGGTGGTTTACAACTTCCTCTCTGCGGCCCACACCGCACGCACATGTGTTTACACAGGACCGGGACACAAAAGTGCGTCTCAGTGACAATGCAGGCGCAGGTACTGCTAGCACAAAAGTCAGGAGAGGAAAAGAGGGTTCCTGAGAAGAGCAGCAGCTGCTGGGGGGCAGTTATGTCCACAGACAAGCGCTCCAGGCAGGAGAGATCAGAGGGGGCTCACAGCCAGGGAGCGGGCCGCCTGGGGAGGGGGCACACTTATGGGCAAACCCTCCTGCTGTTCCTGCATTACCACCTCCAGAACCCATAAAATCATCCCAGGAAGACTGGAGCAGCCAGCTAAACACTGGATAATTTGTATAATGGCTGGAGTCGCGTCGCTGGGTGGAGTTCCATTCACAGACTGAACTGTTCCCTTTGTCATCCTCTGTTCCATCTATTCCTGTCCAAAGTATGCCTGGACAAAAGACCTGTCTGATGTCTTTTGACTCTCTTCCTCTCTTTAGTTTGAACAAAAGACAGGCACATGCCCTGCAGGCGGAATACACACTGAGGCCTCCAAGAGCACAGACAGTCAGTAAGTGTAGAAGAGGTGGACTAGATGAATAATGAAGGAGAACCGATTCGTTATAGGTTCAAAATGCTTATACAAGTGTCTACAAATAAATATGAAAGACGTGTCAAGAAAGAACTGAACATCATATATAATTTGCAAGAAAGTGGCAGTATCACCAACTTATTGAAAGCTGTGAGTGCACTAACATGCACAAAAATATAAAACTATCACTATCCAGTTACCAAATTATTTGTGATCATGTGAGAGAATATTAGATTTTATATCAGGTTAAACTATCAGATACTATCAGAATTCTAGAAATCTCAAATTTCAACAACACGAATTGTAATTAGACATTCTATATCTGTTCATATGCACAATATATTTATATTAGGGCTGTCAATGTGTTAAATAAATTAACGGAGACTAATCGCATTTATGTTATTTGCTTAAATTTGACCCTGAAAAAAGACCCATTTAAAGAGCAGTGCATTTTGTTATAGCTGCATGCATGGACAACATGAGTTTTATCAGAATGTACCTTTAAAAATTCAATATGAACCTGAACATAAAATCACATGAATGCAGGATGAACATGAACACGAAAAAAAAGGGTGAACACAGTTTCCAGTTTTCATCACCCATGTCTAGTAAGAGCCACAGTGGAGGCATGTTCCAACTCCTCTATGATTGTACCCTCTTGTTCTCTCAAATGATATGTTTATCTCGCTACATTACATCTTGTTTCGAGGAGAACTGGTGCTTTCCACTTTGGTGATGAATTTGTTAGTTTGCTGCTTGTTGATTTATCCATAGTTCTCCAGTGAGCACGGTCCAGCGTAGTCTGCCAAGTCTGCTGAACGTGTTTTGCTTGTAAATGAACGTAATAAAACAAAAATTAAACAAATTCACTGCGTGACAGTAGCTGGAAACAACTTCTATCAAGAGACTGAACAATGGATCTCACCATTTAAAAGCTGTATTTAAATGAGAAAGCTAGTAATAGTTAATAATAGCAACATACAGTGCATGTGTAGCAGCACGTCAGGGTGGTACTACAGATGATTTGGATCAAGGATCAAACTAGGAAAATATATTAAAATGGCATTATAAATTAATCACACCTTGACACCACTAATTCATATATACATATATCGTTGCTGTCTCACAAAAACCTTGTTTCACCATTTTTGTCACTATTCATTGTTTGCATAATTTGAAAACTCCACTTACCCTTTGCTTATATATTTATATATATGTATTAGTCATTTTACAAGATGTTGTAAAAATGGTATTCATTTTAAATGTAAGGTAATGTAGCTTTATTTTAAGTGATTTTGGATTTCTCATTTTCTTTTCATCTGGAAATTTCTACACAATGTAAAGGACAACTGCTATGTTCATGTGGTATATAAAAAATGGACAGAAATGGAGATCCATGTTTTTTACAGTAAAATATATAAAATTGGATTACAGTACCAATGAGATTCTAGTTCTTGGCTTAGATGTCTGGTTCTAAGAAAATTCTTTATTTGGCATATAGTCCTATAACATTATGTGGAGATTCTTTACATGTACAACATTACAGTTCTTCATTATGTTTCTCTTCTCTGAAGAACTCTTTCCTGTACCTTTCCTTTTAAGTCTATTGGCAACTGTAGGGCATGC